TAGTAGTAAAGTCGTAGTATGATAGCCATTGTGGTGGTTTGATATAATCATCTCGATAAGACTCAAGTAAGTGTTAGGAGTTTATAAATACCACGATAGCAATGTTCAATGATTCAGAAGCAATAGTAATCGCAGCATGAACAGTTGTAATAAGCAGCAGCAGTAGCAGCAGTAGTAGTAGTAGTAGTAGTACTAGTAGTAGTAGTAGTAGTAGTAGTAGCAGCAGCAGCAGCAGTAGTAGTAGTAGTAGTAAGTAGCAATAAGCAGTAGTAAGTAGTAGTAGCTGGAGCATATGCAACGATAAGAAACAGAGCCACGAAACTGGAATTTGTTTTCTATTGTTAGCTTATCTCTCTCTTCAGTTGCGTTGGGAAGCCCCCCTGGCCGTTGGCCTCGTGCGCGCCAGAAGCTCTCACCGTAGAAGGCATAGATCTGAAGGCATGCAACGGCTGGTTGCAGAAACCCCATGTTACAGCAATTACTCAATGGATTATCTTAATTAAGAGGTTCCGATCAAAATTCAATAGGGTTTAGGGGTTTAGGTTTTGGGTTCAGGGTTCAGAGGTTCAGGGTTCCAGACGAAAGCACAAACACCAAACTCCAGCAAAGCCCTCAATGCCACGGCCGGGAAACCCAAACCTCAAAACTAGCACAAAACCGGCCCAAACTTTCTCAGACCCCTGGGAAGCACGCCGAACACTGCAGCCACCGAGCCCGACACTCATAGACCACTTCCCGCCTTAAACCCACTGGACGACCTGCAATCACCCTTTTGAAACCGGACTTGATGACTGCCTGCAATCACCCTGAATCCTAAACCCTCGAGCACATCTTTGGGAGGACTCCATACGCAGGCTCCTCTGGGTGGCTCCTTGCCGTGCAAGTCGCCGATTTCAGGGTCTCTGCATCCGCCCCGAGACAGTCACAGCTTGAGGATTCTCTACACTGAGCAGCCTAGCATGTTATACGGCTCTTCAGGGGGCTGAAAGCTTTGAATTGTTTTGTGGGGGCATCGGAAGGTTTCACAGGGTTCTGAATCTATAAGGGTTCTGTAAGACTAGTTTAACTGTGCTTTGCAGAGCTAAAGACCGGCTCCGCGCGGTTTTATTGTTCTTTCTACGAAGGTTCCTAAGATTTAAGTTCGTTTGCGTCAATCCGCATATAGTGCTGTATGCGGACCTTTACACGCATCGATTTCTGAATTGCTGTGAATGCATCGGTCTCAGCATTTGTAACTCCAGTTGTCTTAATGCTCATTTTTGTGTCGCTGTATTGATCTGCGGCTCAAACGCATATATGAAGCTATGCAGAGTGAGAATGTGTGTCTGTCTGCCTCTCTGCCTCTGTGTCAGTCAGTCTGTCTCCGTCTGTCTCACTCTGCCTGCCTGCCTGTCTCTGTTGGGTTGCAACTGCATGTGTCTGCCCACGTGTTGTTTGCACAACCTGTGAACCTATAGTCGCATGTCTACCTATGTAACTGCAGACAATGCACGCAACAGCAATATCAAAGTTTCGCGATCATATTCAAGAGATGGCCACTACTCTGATAATAGTAGCAATAGTAATACTAATAATAACCATAGTAATAACAATAATAATATTAGTAATAGTAGGAGCCAGCACGGCTACGGAACCGTAACAATGGTTCTGCGATTCTCGGGGTCGGCATGCTTGGACACCCTCAGGTCGAGCAGGAAGTAGAATGTACAAGGTACAAGGATGCTTTCTTTTGGAAGAGGCTGGAAAGCTCCGAAGCCCAGGCGCCCGACTTGCACCTCTGTCGCCGGCACAGGCCGACTCAAGTCCGGGCGTCTGGGAGAATAGCGAATTCTTCCCTGCTCAGCATGGGCAACATCTGCAAGGGAACCAAACCTTTCGGGGCGAGCCGGAGCCCCCCGCCAAAAAGAACGGAAATTCAGCTCTCGGCAACCGGCGCCATCTCGGACACCGCATCTTCATGTGACAGCGAGCTTGCTGATCCTATGCATGCTTGACGTCAAAACGCGGCGTCCTCGTGCATTTGCAGACGTTCAAAATGGTTTTGTGCCAGCTGCGACAAATGGTTTCGGAGGAGTTCAGGAGATTCCCTCCTTCCGTCCTTGATACAAATGGGCACGCCTTGTAGAGGCGAACGCTGTGCTTCTCACACTCTGACAGGCCCTCCCACATCAGGCAGGCGAGCTAACTACCTGATAGCACTGGCTGCCTAGATACTGCCTCTTGGTGCTTTCCTTACTGCTGAAGTCTCGTCTAGCCAGACCAAGTTACCGAATCATCTTTAGTGCTAACATGCGCAAACCCCAAACCTACAGGTGGTCTTGGCCCAGTCGTCCATCTTGCTCTCGACCACTCAAGAAGAACGGCTGCCATTGGCTGTGCTTTATGTCCGATACACACGGCCAGCTGTCGACATTGGAACCAGACAGTCTAAGGTAAATTGGAGCAGCCTGGTGCCGTTATACAAGTAGGGGTTCGGAGGTTTGGACAACTGCCGTTCGGGATTCCCGCAAGCGCCAGGGTTGCTGACACTTTTCAAACATTACTTGCCATGATTATGCAGCGTAACCTGCAAACCCATAACTACTGCCCTGCACCTGCGGTGGGAGGTGGCACTGATTGCCTTCAGGCAGCGCAAGTGCGAAGAGCGTGACACATACGTCGTTAGGGAGGCTGGAGGTGCAGATCAGACATCAAGCAATGTTGAAGACCACACCCTGAACATCGCATATCCGTTTGAACTGTGCTTAGAGTTTTGGGTACAGGGTTTAGGGTTAGGGTATGTAGACACATACATGTACGCGTCCACTGTGACTTAAACTGGCCGTCAAGATCAGCAACCTTAAACTAGACCCTAAACTCTAGAAGTACTGCTGTGTTCCCATTCATCAAACTCCAGCTGCAGCTAACTGCACAGATCGACAAGGCAGATCGCTGGGTTCCCAAAAAACGATTCCAGTCTGTACAGGTTGTAGATTCTAGGAGTATTCCTTGATTAAGCTGTGCTGTGTTGTCTGGTCAATCACAGCAGTGACGGCACAAGATCTAAGGTTACATCCGTCATTTATGTAGACTGAGTAATACTGAGTGTTTCAACTAACACAGACATGCAACTGCAAGGAGCAAAGATGTATGTATGCACGTAAGCATGCAGGTGGATGCCTGCAAGCGCAGGGACTCACGGCATCTGCACGGGTACATCGTACAGACAAGAGAAGCGACAACGACAACATGTGTTGGCTCAAAACAATGCAAAACAACTCGATACAAATGGTGAGAGGTACAACCTGGATACAACTCATACAATGCACGGAAAGTCACTGAATACCTTCGCTAACGAAAGAAGGGCAGTAGCGACGGCAAGCATACTAGCAGAGGCAATGCAAACATCATACTACCACCAAGCATCTTCTGAATCTTCTGTTTGCCCAACCTGCTGCAAAATCATCGTGGTGAAAGTACGTACCCAAGCACGGAGAAGGGCTTGTCTTCCCATCGCTTATTTACATATGACAACGTGTAAACTGCCGGCTGCTTTCACTATGATGGCATGCATCGGTGTACACTTGCACGAGAATATCGGCTATTTGTTGCAGTATGTGCTGCTGTCCGTCATGCGCCGGCCTCCCAGGACAAACGGTCTGTGCAAACGTGCTAGGCAGGAAAGTATACGGACGGCTAGAGAAACCATACATATACCGAAGTTCTTTCCTGCCGAGCGGAACTTGTAGCAACCTACAGAAACGTCTCGAAAGGTGCAGCTCCGTTCGCTGCAGCACGAGCCGCCAGAACCGCAATGCTCTCATTCTCTTTGCCTTTGGCAAAACCATTTCGAGACACGTCGAAGCAGGCCCCGTGAGGTTGGTGGCTTTGAGCCACCACGGACGCATACCCGAAACGCAAGACCAAGGACAACCATGCACATCTGAAGGCCACTCTAAGCTGAGATCTTTGGATCCCTAAACCCTAAACCCTAAACCCTAAACCCTAAACCCCTAAACCCCGGTATCGTCCTCTGTTAAAAACAGGGCCACCCAACGACGATGTCTGGAGGCCTCAATGGCCCGACACCTCCGCCTGGGCCATGACTTCACTCTACGTAAGGCAATCTGGGAGTTTCAGAAAATTAGGGTTTAGGGTTTAGGGTTTAGGGTTTAGGGCTTAGTAAGGACTTTCCGAAAATTAGGGGTACCTTATTTTGGGGGTCCTTATAATAGGGTACTATATTAGGGTCCCCTATTTTCGGAAACCCCCATCTAGGGTTCGGCTTAAGGTTTTAGGGGTCAGGGCCTACGTAGGGTTTCAGGGCTTAGGGTTTTGGGTTTTTTTTGACACTCACACGCGGACAAGCCTGGCAAGGTCCACCACGATACCGTGGTTTTGGGTTTAGGGTTTAGTTCTCCTGACCTTCTCGGTGTCCGTAAGGGGCCCGTACAAGGACAGGCTACTTCTGCATGTGGGGGCCGTCTGGTCGCTGGAGATTCATGATCAGCTAAAGTTTCGGGGCATCGGGTTTATGGGGTCAGCCTTCGGCCGGAATGCCTGCCAGTGTGCTGCAAGCTAGATGGCAATTGTGGATAAAATTGAAGATGGAGCAGGAAACCCGTTCCTGTTCTGGGTTGAAGGTATTCTAGCTTCGAAGCAGTATCCCCTTGCAGTCCCTATATACATATGGTATAGCTTTACTACACCGTTGCAGTAACCCCTTGCAGAACCATTAAAAGAAGGAGCCTTTTCGGTCCGATGACCTCCTCCAGATGGGTAGCTCTCTAAGTTGCGGCCTCTTCTCAGGTCCCCCAAAATAGCACACCCCTGTAAAAAGGGCCCTAAAAAGGGACCCTAATCTAGAATACTACCCATTTAAGTTTAGAGGTTTAGGGGTGTAGGTTTGGGGCTTGGGACTTTTGGGCCTACTTCAGAGAACTAATCAAACGAAAGCCCTCCCCAACCAACCCTAAACCCTAAACCCTAAACCCCCACCCCAGCCCGATGCCTGGCTGTGTTCAGCCGCGGTCGGCCGCTCGCGAGCCCTTCTTCTCGGCACCGGAGGACCTTAGGAGAGCCTCTTCCTTCCCCTAAGTGGGCTTAGGGTTCAGAGTTTAGGGTGATGCAACTCGGATTAAACGACTTGAGGTAGCTCTAGCCAGAAATAATACGAAATTTTAACTATGCCCTGTTGGCTCTGAAATTAGACTTCGGAGGGTACTCTTGCGAGATTCGCTTGCGACGTGATTTAGGTAAAGGGTTTTGAAGCTGTGGGGTTTTGGAATTTTAGCCGCCATGTGGCGCCATGTTCACGCCGAAACCCAGCAAACTGGGCAGGCCGTAAACCCCACAAGACCCAAACAAGATCCTCCACCAAGAAAACCTAAACCCAAACCCTGAAAACCCAAACCACCGGAAGCTCTCCTACCTAGACCCTAAACCCTAAGACCCTAACCTCTAAACCGTTAATCTCTGCACTCCCTGGTCGCCAAGGTTCGGCTTGCCACCTGAAGCCTCCACTGTCTGCAGCACCTTGTCGATACCTCGAACTGGTCGCTCTAACGCATTCAGCGTCTAGGGCTCTTACTTAGGGGTTTTGGGCTTAAGAGGCCTCAATAATTAGAATAAGGCTTTGGTGTATATTAGAACTGTAATTATAATAAGGAACCGCCGGAATAATTTTGGCAATTACTTCGGCCCCTCTATTTATTCCCTAAACCCTAAACCCTTATAATATTAGGGTTCAAAGGCTGAGGGCTCCCCAGGGTCTCGGGCTCTGCGTGTCGCGGGTAAGCGCGGTTTCTGTTGCTTCTTCCGTTGTGAGTAACGTAGGGGCCTTAATAATTAGAACAAGGTTTTGGGGCCCATTTTGCTATAATTTTATAATGTAAAGGCCTTTATAATTAGAATAGGGTTTTGGGGCCCATTAAACTATGTAATCAAGGAACCCCCAAAATAGTATTGGTAGTTGTTCAGGCCCCTACGTTAAATTCCGTGCGCTCCCCCCAACCCTTTTCTTACGAGAAACACGGGAGCATGCGCAGTCTAAAACACAGATGCTCTGGATTTGTTACTCTTTCCTCCGTGTGCTGCTAGCTTATTTGAAGGCATCTGAATTGAACGCTTCAGCCGAGAGTGAGGCGGCGTTGCACGCAGCAAACAAAATACGCGGCCCACTCGTGCTACTTCTGCTAATTTTATTCTTCGTGCAAAATTTACACTCACTCACTTACCTTTTCGCCTGCACAGTCACCAACAAGGCCGATAACACAGAGCAACCACAAGTGCCCATCAATCGTTTCTTAGTCTTTGTTGGCTCCTTCCATGGACACCTTCCTCACTCCCACGCCTGCTCTCTCTTGCACCGCTTGCCGAGAGAGAAAGAAACGGGTGAAGGTATGAAGCCTACATAGGCCCCTCCTCACTTAGAGAAAGGTGGATGCACATAATCACCGCCGTGGACAGCTTGACTGCGCCGAGGCACCCATCTCGACGCGGATCAAGTTTTCAGTCCTGAGGCGGTTTACAACATCGGCTCTAGGGCTCGAGGCTCCAGAGTCCGGGTGATATACTGCACTCCCTGTCGCAATTGTCGCAACGCTACTACTCTGAACGGAAACTCTTATGCTAGATTGCCGAACACCGTAAGGCAGTGCTGGACATCCCGCTGGTATGCTATGCCACAAGAAACTCCGGATCCACCGCCTTTGTATAGGGTTTCGGGTTTGGGGTCAGGGCTCCCTGGCCACTGAGCAGCCCAAGGGTAAAACCCAAGACCGAGCGGCTTCAAAAGCGTCGCAATCTCACACGCAACAACATCACTCCTAATCAAAACGAAACGCCTATGCTACACTAAACTCTCGTGACAAAAAAGCCACTGCAAAATTATCTGAATCTGTGGCTATCTTCCTGTACATCTATGCATGTGTAAACAGATGTAAGATGTCACGCACGTCATGTATCTAGTTTGCTAGGGAGTCTAAGCAACAAAGCGAGCCATGGAAGGACCAAGCGGCATGGTGTTCTGAATCTCGGCGACTTTCGCGTCCAAGGCGCCGGAGACTTGCGATTGGGTATCCTTCAACCGTGAGCAACTGGATGGGTTTTCCCCTAAACCCTAAACCCTAAACCCTAAACCCTAAATAGGCTAGGGTTTCTTGGGTAACATTTGGAGCACGCGCGCTCAACCCAGCCGAGGCGAGGCTAGCGGAAACTTGCAGGGAAGGCTGTCTTTCGGGTTTTGCACGCCTTGAAAGGGTCTTGTGGGGTTCTTGTGAAGGCACACGAATTGGGACGCCATTTTGGGGAGAGACAGAGAGAGAGAGAGAGAGAGAGAGATATATATATATATATACATATATATATATACCTGTTTTTTATTTATATTTTATTTATATGTATATAGGATTATAGATACATGTACATATATGACATAGTAACCTTATTCTGGTACCTCAGAGAAGCTCCTGAACACGAAATCAGGAAATTGCCTGGGCAAGGACATAATGTAGGGGTCGTAGAAATTTCCACAAGGACAATAGTGCACTATTGGTTGGCTGCTGCAGTTCTCCTCTCTTAGCTGCGGCATTTTGGCAAAACCTTGTCGTTCATTCATTAATAAGGAATGTTCTCTATTAGTGTTGACAGGCGTCTAGGTTTCGGGTCAAAGCTTGACATCTTAAGGCTCTCACACGAGCGACGCCCCCTACCTTCTCAAACAAAAACTCTGCTAATGTAACACTGCCGCGACCAGTGGGAAGGTTCTGGCAGGTGTGAGCGGCAAACCCCGCCTACTCCACCATACTCAAAAAATGCCATTGATGCTCGCCGGTTTCTAGGTTCATGCTCGGCTCAGCCTGAGGGAGGGTCCGAGATACCTTTCCTGGTATGTTGAGCTGAACCTACCTTAACCTACCAGAACCTACTTTTTTGTCGGGCCCCTATAAATCCCATATTAGTATTTATAACAAGACAAGAACCTACCAAAAAAGTGGGTTATGGTAGGTTAAGGTACGTACTTGTAATTAGAAGAACTGTGACAGGGCCTTTTTCAGGACCTCAGGAAGATGCAGATCCTCCCTTGGAAGAGGAAAAGCGTGGGCGGGGGAAGGGACCTTGTGCTTCCTAGCGGGTTTAGGGTTTAAGCTTAAGGGTTTTGGATTTAGGGTTCAGGGTGGGTTTAGGGTTTAGGGTTTACACTCTCACAACTCGGACAAGCCAGGCGAGGATCCATAGGTGCAAAGGTCGGTGTGACACTTGAAGCTTCCTACAGGGTTTAGGGTTTAGGGTTCAGGGTTTTGGATTCAGGGTTCAGGGTTTGGGGTCTAGGGTCTGATTTCCACAGTGTGTTCAGCGTGGCCATGAATCCTAGCAGCCCGGCTGTCCTGCAGAGGCAGCAGCTGCATGCGGAGTGCTTCGCTCACTTGTGCCAGGCCTGATTCATCGCACAAAAAGTGGTTGGACTGTTGCAACACCCTAAACCCTGAACCCTAGACCCTCAATACTAAACCCTAAACCTGAACCCTAAACTCTGGACTCTAAACCCTAAACTCCCCAGTGTAAAGGTATTGTAATTACCGTGTCTTGAAATACACGTTGTAGAAACCAGTGTGGTTTCCTCCGTATGACATCTAAACTCAGTGTTCCTTTTTTACGACCCGTATCTTGTTGTTGTTTTGAAACCCCCGTTGATACAGTCTAGTAGCTAGTACAACAAAGGAGATCTGCAAAATTGATGTGGCCCCAAGACTTGAAATAAGGACTTGGGGTACAGTATGCTGTCACTCTGAACGGGAACCGCAAGCCTTAAAAAAATCCTAGACCCTAAACCCTGAACTTTAAACCCTAGACCCTAGACCCTAAACCGTAAGTACTGGTTCATTCCGCCCCCTCTCTTAAGCTAAGCTCCTCGAGAGCCCGGGAAGTGCCCGGCTCAGGCTTTTCGGACTTGAGAGAATCGCCCTGAGAACCCAATACCCCTTTTTTAAGGAATAGACCCTAAGCCTTAAGTTATAGGAGCCCTAATATTATGGTTTATCCCCTTTAATCAAGGAACAAACCTTAAGCCTTAAGTTATAGGGGCCCTAGTATTATGGTTTAATCCTCAATTAAGGAATAGACCTTAAGTTTTGTAGGGGCCCTAGTATTATTGTTTACCCCTTAAATTAAGGAATAGACCCTCAGTTATAGGGGCCCTAATATTATGGCTTAAGGTCTTTTCCTTAATTACGGGGCGTTGGGTTCTCTGGGGGGGGCTTTTGAAGGGTTCGGGGTTTAGGGTTCAAAGCACTAGATCCTTAAACCCTAACTTGATGTGCTGTCGTTTTTTGACTCTTTTCGCAGAGGAGTTTAAGGTTTAGGTCTGAGGGTTGAGAACCTGTTTTGAGGAAGCAGTATCCCAAGGATCTCTGAACGCACCGGGTCCCCAGAAGAGTCGGAATGGCTTTTTGGACCCATATACCAAGGATGAACCCGTTTCTAAACATGTAGATACCCGAAGCCATATTCCACATCTCCCCCACACCCAAAACTTTCCTCGAGTGCGTCATGTATTGCAGCCCGCAGCAGGGAAAGTCTAAGGAGCGCTTTAACCTGGTTCCGGTACTTGGAGGCCCAGGGGACTTAGTAAGTCGGTTATAAGTAGGGTTATAATTGGGGTAACTCCATTTAGGGGACTTATAACTCTACTTATAACCTACTTACTAAGTCCTCTGGGCCTCCAAGTACTCCTGACCCTTCATGCGCCCCCAAACCCTAGACCAAGCCGGGTGGCTCTCTTGCGAGCTCTCACGCTGTTGTTGCGACAGTGCCATCGCAAGGGCGGCCAATTCCTGCAACTAGGCGTTTGTCCCCCACTCGAGGCTCCTAGAGAACGGAATGAGCAGTGTCCGTCCCTAATATTTCTAAAACACATCTGCCCCAAAACCTGTCTAAGAACTAAGGCGCATATACTAGGCCGTAACTTGGGAGTTGAGGGGCTTGGAGAATCGGGTCGAGTGCTGAGGTCGAGATCTTCTGAGGGAAACTCAGAAAGTTGCCAGGATAGACGTGCACGGTCTCGGGTTTAAGGTTGAGAAGCCTTGCTGTGGCCGTTTGCAAACAAGTTCCTGAATAAGAGTTCAGGGCTCAAACCTCCAGTCATCGTGTAGCTTCCGGGCCGTCAGGAAGCAGCAAGCCCCAACATCAACCAATCTTTGGGCTTGACGACAGGGGGGGGCCTCTCTGCGAATGACAAGCAGCAGGCAGAATAGTACAAGGTGGCAAAAATCTCACTCATGTTCATTTAAATCGGCATCTTTACCCAACAACCAACCCTAACATCCTAAATTCTTACCGGCCCTACACCCGAAGCGGCCAAACCAACCCAAGGGTACCGGACCGTCCGCTCTCAAAGAAGATGACTACACTAGTCGCAAATCTTAAGCCCTGCCTACACGCAACTAGGTTTTATAAGTGCTACAACCCCAGCTCGGGTAATTACGATGACGAAGACGCCATTTACTAAAACAATCTGAACCTTTTGATTACTACTCAAAGCCTTTTTTTGCATCAGGACTTGTGCAATCGCCTGAACACAAACCCTTTTTTGAACCCAGACTCTGCCAATCAGATGAACACAAACCCTAAACCCTAAACCTTAAACCCTAAACTCTCCATCCCTGGCATTTCACAGAGGCGCCTGGCGAATGCTCTCGGTCATCTCGCTTTGATCCTGAGGCTCCCAGGCGGGATGGTAGAAGCTGGGGCTAGGGGGCTATTTAGCTACAACCAGCATTAGGGTATAGCTCTTTTCGGCTTTTTTTGGCTTCTGGGAGCAGGCTTTTCGGTTTATGACGGGAGTTGAGTAGGGTTTGGTGCGTCTCTGCTTCATCATTACCCTCATCTCATCTTTACCCGCATCCGTCACGACCAGCATCAGCAGCATCATCACCATCCTCAACCCGATCTTAACGACGACGGTGAAGTGCAATAAGGACTGGATTTTAAGCTTGGCCCTAGGGATCCCAATATCCTTAGATATCACTTTATTCAAGGTTGCCTTACTTTAGGATCTCAAGTGAGCTGGTACTGCAAGTACCGGCTCACTTTTTGAATCGAAGTTGTTTGGCGTCTCTGGGTTCCTTATTCCCTTTTGCAACAGGCTTTCCACTTCTTCCTTATTCCCTAAACCCTAAACCCTAAACCCTATTCCCTTGAAGCTCCTTGCCAGTGCTGGCGTTCACGGAGTTGGCGCTTTCGAGGCGCATGGCGCTCTCCTGCGCAAGGCAGATCTGGGCGGGTCTAGCAACCTGTCAAGAAGTACGGGCATTTAGGGTTTTTTCCCCTCTCGCATTGCTGAGAACTATGCCCACGGCGAGGTGGTTTAGGGTTTAGGGTTTAGGGGAACCCAGAGACTCCAATATCCTTTAATTGAGGGATATACCTTAAATCATATTAAGGATTCTACCATAATTTAAGGAATATTCTTTAATTAAGAAATATACCTTAGATCATATTAAGGATCCTACTATAACTTAAGGAATACTCCTTAATTAAGGGATATTGGAGTCTCTGGGAAGCATGGGTACATCACGGTAGCAACAGTGAATCGGGACGTCCTCCAACTTTGCGACCATGTTCGTGACGGCGTCCTCGCAGGTGCGACGCGGCCCTACACACTCTAAGGAAACCCAAACCTTCAACTTCAACTCTAAACGCTAACCCGACCCGAAACCCTACTCTAAACCCTTACCACCCTTAAGCCCTAAACCCCTAAACCCCAAACTCTCAACCTTAAGCCCCGGAGATCCCCCCCAAAGAGGCCCCCCCGCCGGGCTCCCAGGCCTTGAAGGAGCTGCCTCCTTCTTCGCCCTCGCCCAAGAAGGCCTCCTGGGGCTTCCGACACTTCTCGCATTCTCTGGGGGCCCAGGGAATGTAGGAGCGATAATAATTAGAACAGAGTTTTCGGGGCCTTTATATAGTAGTTATAACAAGGAAGCCCTAACAAATAGTATTGGTGGTTTTTAGGCCCCTATATTAGCATACACCGGGGGCTCAGCTAGGGTTGAGGGTTCAGGGTTTAGGGTTGCATGTTGGGGTTGAGGGTAGGGGTGAAAGTTTGGGGCTGAGGGCTTTTTAGCTGAGGGTTTAGGGGGTAAGGTTTTGTGGCGGTGCGCATATTTGCAGGAGTCTTAGGGCCCTTGGGTACAAGTATAGCAGTACGATAAGAAGGGGTTGCCCTCGTTAGAAAGGACAAGTCTCGCCAGATATCTAGGATCAGTCATGAAGCAAATCATCTGCAGACTTTGGTTCGGGGCTTTGATCGCAAGACTCGCGAGTGTCGCAGCAAGCCTTAAGCCTAAGTTTTTGCGGCCCTGAGTCCCTATGAACTATGGTTTACAGTAGCCACATGGGCTATCTTTCCGCATGGTTCGGTGCGGTTTATGGTTTTCGTTTGGCTCCAGATTTGTTAGGAACAGTTACGATTCAGGATCATCTGCTTGGGATCTCACAGATAAAAGAACTCTGGACTCTGAAGACATCATGCATGTGCGGCACGTCTTTCTCTGTCCGTCGTAGCTTTGTGGTTATGCGACTCCATGAGATATCACGCATCACCTGAGCATGGTCTTCACCTTTGCTTGAAAGCCGCACCGCACCTGGCTCCTCCAATACCCAGATCTTCTGCCGAAAACACAGGAACCCTAAACATCCCTAAACCCTGTAGTGTAGCGGCCTGAATAGTTAGAATAGTGTTTTGGGGGTATATTATTCTATATTTATGGAAAGGAACCGACCAAAATAGTATAGGTAATTGATAAGGCCCCTATTAAAAAAAAACACATGAAGCCTAGATCTCGCGATCGGTGACAGCCCGAGCCTGCATCTTGTTCATCTGTTTCAGGACCACATCACGAATTTGCATCTCCATGTTCCTCGCGGCCCATTGCAGCTAACGGTTTCTGGTACCCTGAATGCGGCATGCTAAACAGGATAAGGCCTGATGTCTGATCAATCAAGCTCTGACAGTGCGCCGGAACTGAGCGGCATGCACCGGCATGGGGCTCTCAGCTGTCTGACACAAAACATGGGCCCTTTTTTGAGCCCAGGCTCTGATCATCAGCTGGGAAGCCCGAAAGCCTAAACCCTAGGCCAAGGTGCGCCGCGGAATCGCGCATGATCTCGGAGCGCGTGAAGCTCTGAAGAGACCTAAGCGGCTGACTGGCTCTGGCTGAACGGCTCATACTCTGGGTTGTAGTTTTGGGGCCCTGAAAAATATAGTTATAAATAGGTACCTCTATAGGAACCATAAGGTAAATGTTAAAGTTCCCAATGTGCCACCTAGTACTGCACATATCTAAACAAACCGCTAGAATTCTTTTTCATCTCCTGGAAGTGCAACAACCTCCATTTCGATCACCTTCCAAGGGCCCAAGTGCACCCTTAAGTCTCAAGCCCTCGACTCAACTCTTTTTATCTTCCCGGCCTCAACTTTCGATTTAACCTGAATTAAACTCCAAACCACAAACTCTATCCGTGCACCTGACGCAGACCAAAGCACTCGGCACTGGTGTGCATGGTCTCTTGGGCTTGAGTCAGCAGGTCCAGGATCATCATGTTCCTTGCTCAGCATTTCAGCACTCACACTCCCTTTACATCTGGGCTTGATCAATGAAACCCTAAACCTTAAACCCTAAACCCTCAGCATTTAGGGTTCGCGTGCTGCCGGGTCGGATGTCGTGCAGTCTCTCAGTCTCCAGACGCTCTTTAACATCACCTTGGCCTGGGGCCCAGCCGGCTTCTGTAGCTTCTGTAGGTGCCTGAATAATGGCTTCCTTTAAGGGGTTCCTTAAAGGGTTCTATAAGGGCTACTATCAGGGTTTAGGGTTTAAAGGCCTTAATAATTAGAATTGGGTTGTGGGCCCAAAAATATTATATGGTTGTTGTTCAAAATAACAC